ACTGGGACCTGTTCATATATGTTCTTGGCAGATGATCCAGAAGTGGTTTGCCCTTGCCTTCTTCTGTGTGTGAATGGAGTAATTGTTGGGATGCCACGGAGGAAAACTCCGTGTTGCCTAGACCACGGCCTTGCCCAACACAAGTTATAAATTCGGGCACCGCCGGGAATCGAACCCGGGACCCCCAGGATTACAAGGCCAGCAATTCCCATCTCTCTGAGATTACGTGCGTGAACGTGCCATTTCAAATACTGACCCATCCACAGTGCCGTGTCTGCCGATGAGCTGTGTCGCCTGGTCCCGCGTCATGCCGCTGTGGAACCAAGGCTGTGTGATGTGTATACCAGACTTGAGACCCCCCGCACCAGACACCCTGAGCAGACTGGGGCCGCGCGTCGACGGTCGCCAGCGCCTCTTCCACGAGTAACCCTCTGCCACGGCGATGGCCTTGGCTTCCTGAGGGTCCTCCACGATACGACCGACACTCCCCGTGAAGTCCATGGCCACGCGGGATCGGACACTTTCCTGCATCGCACACAATTACCGAGTGAGTACGATGTTGATTTCCTTACGCGATTAATTATTACTGATTCATCCATGCGATCAAACTTGTCGGATGTTTATCCTCGATCTGAATCCTGCACGTGTGTGTAAAATATCGCGTACTTCTATTTTTTTATTGTATTTTGTCCGCGGAGCTTGGATCCGCCACTGACAGCGAAATTCTTAGCCCAAAAGGCAACTATAGAAGGAGGAACCATGAATGTTCCTTGTATTTAATTCTGAATAATGCACAATGAACTTGAAACGCACGTGACTTCTGACAAGTTACGTAATACTTACACTGGGCACAGAACACGTGATACTTTCCATCTGCTGCTTGTTCTTAAAGGCTCGGTAGTTTTCCCGAAGCTGCTTACCATACTGAAAGAAGGAGACATGCATTAACCTCCAAGAGGAACTGAAACCTCTTAATTCACTTCACACGTGCACTTCATTAAGCTCAGATTGAAAGAAAAGTATTTCAAAACCCAAAGTGTCAATTCTCCTAATTAAAGGTGTGTGTTTTTTCTTTTAAATGTTTTAATTAGTACCTAGGACAAACCTCGACAGTTCTGCCATTTAAACAAAGGCATTCCAGTATTGCCAACTTTTAAAATCACCTTCATAGTTATTGGTGTCAGCCTTCTCTAAAAGATCGGGCATCAGATTCCGGCTAATGAAAGAACAAATCCCCTACAAATATGCAACCAACAGTCCACCCACTGTCTCACCTTGGCGAGCCTCATCGCGGTGAGCCAACAGGTTCTGACGCGCTCAGACTCGCAGGCCAAGCAGTGCAGAGCTTCACGTTCGCCTGTGAGACAGAGGCCAAACTCTGTCGGCGCGCGAAACTGTTTCCGGGCGTTCAGAGGTACGTACACGTTGCAGTCGGATAGTCGCACCAACACCTGCAGGTCTGACGCATCACCCACCTGAAATAGGAGAAACTGAGGTTAAACACGACGGAACAGCGACTGGCATAGTCGATTGTGCAGTCAGCCCACGAAACAAAGGAACACTTGAGCTACAAATTAAACTCGTATCAACGAAGTCGGAGTTTATCTGCGTGCACATTTTACCCACAAGATGATCTAATTGTTGAACCGCCGCCATGATCAGGCGAATATTAGCTTGGCATGCGACATTTATGAGATATGTTGGTAGTCCTGGAATTTTCAAGGGGAAGGCTAGGAGCGAGTCTCGGACTGAACGCCCAAACAAAAGAAATACGCTGACCGTGCCACACAGACTAGGCCCGTCCGCCAGCTTCTCCACCGGCCAGAAACTTACTGCGCTGACCATACGAGCCGCTTCGAGGTCCGTGGCGGTGTCGAAGAGTTTGTTTTCATTCATGACCTATAAAATGAGAGGCGTGCGAGCAATCCCGTAATGCTCGCGCGATAAATTATATCTCGCTACCGCAGTCATGCGACGGTTTGTGTAACACGGTCTTGTATCCTAGCAACGTGTGCCACGCGCTGTATTCGACATTCTTCGCAGCTGTCGATTGTTATCGATAAAGCATGAGGATTTCAGTATCGATATAATTGTATAGTGGTCTGTTTTTGGTTTATTATTTAACCGAAGTCACAGATGAGGTTTTTATTATCTTAAAACTGTTTTCATTCGTAGAGGACATCTTGAAAGTCGTATCTGAGAGATTATGCAGAACATTTTCTAGAAACTTCCGATGTTTCATTATTGAAATTCGATATTGGACATACGTAAATCGTCAGTTCTCTAGATTTGTGCCACAGAATTTGAAAACCTCCGGGTTCAGATTTCATTGGCTGATTGTACAATGTTTTTTAGACTCTGCATGACACCCACGTGTGATTGATGAATTTCTCTCTCATAAAGTCAATAAATATTTCATCGCACGTCGTACTGAGAAATTTCTTTTGTCTGGGTTTCTGAATGAACCCTGCTGTGAGCAGACGATGTTCGTAAAACTTCGTAGCAATAAAATGACGCTAATAGAGACAGTTTTATTTAGAAAGTCTTTTATAAGGCCAACCATTTGATACGTGCGTGACTGATCGAGGCATATTAAATGAGAGTCGAAACAACTTCCTTCAGAAATAGCAACTCTATCCTTAAAAAGAAAACTTTCTGCAAAATTTTATCCAATTGAAGTTTTCGCTTTCAAATTATTAATAAATATTAGCTCTGAAGAAAATATGATAGGCTATACTTTACAGAGACTTTGTTCAGAAAGAATCTATCGGAAGTATAAAACCTCTGGACCGATTTCAGGAGATGAAATGAGGTTTTAAAAATACTGTAACCTCGTGGACGTCAGGGGCGGAGCGTGGGATAAGTGAGGATTTGCATACGACAATTTAGTCTGAAAAATACAAAAAAAACATTTGGAAGACCTGGACGTAGATGGGATAATATTAAAATGAACCTTAAAGAATCAGAGGGAGTGGATCTGGATTGGATTCATCTGCCGTAGGATAGGGACCAGAGACATTTATGGATACGGTCATGAATTTTCTTTTTTCATTTATGCTGTCAAGATGAGTAACTATCAGCTTCTAAACAAGGTCGATGTAAGTATGAAGAGTTGGCACAGTACATACCGACTATTTAAAAAAAGATAACATATTGCAAACTTCATGTTTTAACAACAATTTATTAATGTTAATACGTTAAAAACGTAATTGTATTTATTCCTTACTTTTTAAACGTTCTGTCTCTTAAAACAGATTCTCTAAATTCCTAATTCTCGTTCAAACCAGATAGACCCCGGTTAATCCGCGCACAGATAATCGGGAGTCCACTGAAGTAGACCCACGTGTCTTGGATTTGATTACACTCCAAATGAAATCAAACATCACAGATGTCCGACCGCAAGTTCAGACCCAACTCTCGGGCCGTTTTACTTTGAACAGCGGAGCTCAGTAGCGCCTGCGAGGCACGCTCTCCCGGCCTACACCAGAACCGGAGAAGTTGCCGATGAGGCCAGGCGTGTCCTTGGCTGTTCTACCCCACGTAATTGAAGTCGAATTGCCTGGTGGGTCCGTTAATACAGCGGGAAACAGTACCGAGAGCAAGTTTTCACTAGTGCCTGCCTGATCACGCCTTGAAAGCGTATGGGGGGCCTGGCGATAAAACTAGACCCATTCTCTATCTCTGTACTCAACAGAGGTGAGTTTCACGTTCTGGCCGCTTCACTCCCACTATCCAATGGAAGAGTGTTTGGATGTACCCGAGAACCGATCTCGACGCTATGGAACGAAACGAACAAGTATCCCAGCCGGGAATCGATCACGGATCATTAAATTTGTAATTACAGAATTCAGTGTTTGTGCGGGTCCGAATAAATTTTCAATTATGAAGACGCTGTCTTCTGAGACGTTGCACCGTGTACTATGGTAGGTATTTCTTTCACAAATTAACCGCTGTATTCCGTCTGAATTCAGATTCGTCAACGCACGAGCGTTTACACGTCCTCCACTTACGCCTTTGTTACGTGAAGACACGGAATTCGTGTTCTTTATGAGCTGTCAGTAGCCATGTTTATTTTTAACCTCACCCAAGTTACACAAAACTGTGTTTAAAAACAATTCTGAGTCGTTAACTAAACAAATGCCAGATACCGAGAACGCAGAACTTCCGGTTAACCCCGTTTCTACTCCGTGCTATACTGGGGGTCCCCGGCTGGAAGTATCTGACGAAGTGTGCATCCTGATGTTTCGCGCTTTCACCGGAATTCTGCTTGAATCACCGAGATAAATGGAGGCCCGCCGTGCGTTCATCGGAGTGAACGCCGGCCGATCTCCCGAACGTCGGGACGGAGACAGGAACTCGCGAGACAAGAGATGAGAGATCGTCTGAATATTATTTATGAATTCAGTCCGTACCGCGAAGAAAACACTACACCTCACCATTACGAAAATCAGCTGGTTAACCCTTTGAAGCCGAAGCTCGTCTGAATATTATTTACGAATCCAGACCGTACCGCGAAGAAAACATTTCACTTAAACATTAGAAGTCGAATCAGGCGGTACCACATAAGATTTAACAAAAGAACATCCCGGTAGAAGCCTTAAACACGATCCTCGACAGTCGTCACGGTAATGCGTTGCCCTTACCAGGCATTCTAAAGGTCAAGGTACAAGGACTTAAAAAAGCCCACAAAATTGGCAGCGGGGCTCCCATTATAACCGTGATGTGACAAGCCACGTGCACATGACCTCGTTTGAAACACAACAGGCCCGCTTAGATTAACAAAGAAGTGCTTGGGCGTGGGGGAACCAATTAGTCACACGAGATATTTCTGACTACACCGGAACATAAGGCTCTTTAAATACGACTCTCTGAAAATCCTCGACTTTTGTTCCCAGTTCTGAGATCACAAAATATGATAGATACTGGCGAGATCAATTTCCAAACCGGTTCATGAATGTTTTTAGAAAAGACATTTCGATGTAATTTGATTCGACGATCACAAGCTTAATAAACAATGTTACTTGCCAGAACAACGCACAAATCACGTATTTGGCAGACGAGTGTCTATCTTAAACATATAATCAATACAGGTAGCCCTCGATTTACGCCGGGGCTGCATTCCTGGACGAACCGGCGTAAATTGAAAACTCTTTTATAATGTAAATCAATGAGAAGTCAATGACGTACGTTCCCAGCACCAAAACATTGACGAGTAAAGCTCTGGAATAACGTAAATAAAATAAAGGGAATTTAAAAAATATATTTTATACACTTACAATCGACGATGGCGTGACGAAGTCCCTGGTTGAGGATCGTCGTGTTTTTTAAAGAATTCATGTCGTGATTTCTTCTTTCTTTCTTTCTTTAAAAATTTCACTTCTCTTCGCTGTAGCACAAGAGCGAACTCGCATATTCAAAAGTTTACATTTCACAAACAGCTTTTATCGATTCATCGATCTCATTGGAGCAAATTCGCGTTGACGAAACTTACGTAATTGCAGAGATGACTGTATTTATAATTTTTATTCAAAATCAGCGACGTAACAATTACGATTTAGTATAAGAATCAGTACGAGAAACATTGTAAAACGTTATAAATAATAGTATTTTTTCACTTTTTAACTTTCTGGTTTCAAAATCGGCGTGAATCGAGGGCTACCTGTATCTGGTAATAATTACAGTATGACAGAACTTAATTAGGTGCACTAATGGAGTAAATAACCAGTTGAAACAGATATTTTGTGGAGACCTTAGACGCTTGCCAACGTTTCAGAGGTCCCTTCTGCCTCCATTCTCAGTACTATCGATCGGTACACCGTAGAATACCCACTCTTCCCTAAGTCAGATGCATCCCCACATCACATTGACTTTATTTACCACCTATTTTAATATTATCCTGTCCACGGCTCCAACATGAAGTGTGATCTCGATCAAACTTGGGTGACAGACCCCCCCCCCCCCCCCCCCCCCACCACCACTACTACTATTACCACCACCACCACCACCAGTAATGCTAAACTTCTCATCTGAACGAGGGAGCATCCGCATGTCTCTTGGTTCTGGTGTCCGAAACGAACGTGGTGGAGGTGGTTGACTGCTGGGGCTTGGTACTTCACCACCATGTGGTGGCCATGCTGGTGACACTCCACCCCTACCATTGCCAATGCGTGGCAGCATTGAACTTATACCTCTGGGAATACCTGAAATCATATTCCAGCAATGAAAGGAAATGAGTAGCCAACAGATATTATTTTACAGAGGCTCAGGAAAAGCATCTACATATAATTCTTCTCATTTCACTATTTTAAGTTTCATTTACAACATAAATACTTTCTTTTGTTTGCGTGTTCCCATGGTAACATGTAATTTCTACTGATACGAGACCATCACAAACAAAGGAGTAAGAAGGAATTTATGAAACACTGTTGGAAGGGGGAGATGCAACGGGAACGCTATGATAATGACAGTAGACGAG